ACGGATGCTTTAGCCAAACCAGGATACCGAGGTGGGGGTGTTGTCATCCTAATTATGAGCCACCACCCCGAAGACCATGCCGTGGTGGAAATACTCAGTCTCCACGTAAGTGGCTGGTTCCGCTACTTAAAGGCTGAGCGGCCGGTGAAAGAGGCCGTCCGTAGGCCCACGAGTCTTGCAAACACGCGTGAATTCAGACAGTCAAGTGATTCAACATACTGAATATCTGAATATGTCAAAACGGTGAGCAGGAGCTTTGATCAGTGATTAGTGCACAGATAAAGATTAGATAAGTTAGTATGAGAAAGCAGCTTTAATAGCGGACTTCAGACGATTCAGGTCACGAGAAGACATGAGCTGGCAATAAGCTGTTGACAAAGTCACAATGCCGAAGAACATCGGAAGCAGAACAATGTCGCGACAGGTTGCGAATGTTCTACTCAGACCACGGAGTAGCCGTAGAAAGCTAACCTACGGAGGAAGAGGTCTTCTAACCACGAGGCACTTAGAGAGGGGAAGTTACTTTAGTTAACGTCTGGTAACTCTACTTCCACCACTGCCCTGAACAGGCTTCAAAGCAAGGTCAAAGGTTCTTGTCATTCTCCAAGATTATGCACATCTACGCACGCACAAGGCAATTCGCTCGTCATGCTCGAAGGGGGTCCCCATCATCTGAGGGACCTGGTGATCTAGAAGGCACTGGATTACAGCGAGGGAGGCTTGAGCAATGTCGGTCAGACAATCATCCCAGTCCCATTATGATTCGGTCATAAGGGAATCCCGATTGGGGCTTGAGTTTGGTAGGTGACCGGATAAAATTGATAGGTCCACACCACACCTTCGAAAAATATCTCGGAAATCCGGTTAACATGGACCAAATGCTCTATGACTGACGTAAGAGTATCAACTATCGAGGGGGAGGGGGAGCGGGAGAAGTGTTGGGCACAAGACCCGACTTATTTTCTCGAGAGGCTAGGTACGCATCCGATGATGACCTCCGGTGGATGAGTGCACCTGGCTATAGCGGCAGACTACCCTCAGTCTGGCGCACTCGGGAAGGGAAAGGA